TCCCCTCATCCAAATCATCAACAAATTTGACCTGTTCTGGAAGTTAGTGTCTTTACCTACAGCCTATCTCAGTCCTGATTGGGGCTTTAGGGACTGGGCTTTTTTCCTGAGCCTTTCTCAATACTGGAACAATGTCTTATTTCATGATTTCACTGAGACACTTGCAGGAGATCTGGACGTGCTATATCCAGCTCTAAGAGCTGCCTCTAAGATATCTATGGCCCATACATGCAGGTAGGTAGAGGCCTGGTCTTAGCCACCTCCTGTGATACGTATGCCTTGTGGTACCTGGAGGGGAATAGTGAGCTAAGCACTTAGGCACCTCATCAAGACTTGGACTTCTGCTTGTTGATTGCGAACAGCCAAACCAAAACCACGGTCCTTAGAGTCACAGTAAGTAATAGCCCAGTGAACAAACGCTCTCCTCCTTCCTTACTTCCCTCCCTACTTCCTCCCATCCCTCCCCCCTCTCGCTCCCTCCCTCCCGGCCCAGTTCCAGATTGAGACAACTAGTGACAGCAAAGCATACCCCATACCATATGCAGTGCTGATGCTCCATGTCAAATCCTGAGCACTGTGTATGCAGTGAAGAGAGACAAGACCTGTAAAGGTTAAGTTCATAAAGACGTCAGAGGAAGCCCATTTAGATTGTACTGGTACAGGCTGAGGAGCAAGGAAAGCCCTGCACTTGGGAAGGAAAAAGATGCATTTCTGGCTTAAGCCATTTTGGATTTCAGCTGCGCTGTGTGCACTTGCCTCCATGCCAGATGCCAACATTCAGACATGGGGCTTTTGCCTTGTGTTTGCTGAGATTCAGAACTCTGTAGGCAGGTCTGAAGAAACTACCATACATCATCACAGGACTCATCTTTCCACGGGACAGGTCCCAATCCTTTGAATGGAAACATGTCCTAGAGCTCACATTGGGGATTTCATTTCCCAGTGCTGCATGAAGCAGGAGGGTGGAATTATGTCTTCAGGAGACAAAGCACACAGGGCTGTTGAAGCTTGCAAGTGCTGTTCAGCTCAGGGGGATTTTTCAACAGGATGTTGAAGGGTAGCAGGCATAAATGCTCTGAGCAGCTAAAGTGCCCTCTGCATTGACAGTTCAGCTTTGAATGATTTCACTGTGTTGTGAGGAGTGGTCTGTGCCCACTCTTGGGTAAATGAGGATATTGCTAAGCTGCTTTGGAAACTGGTATCTCAAGTCAGGTATGAGATATCCAAACGAATTGCTAGTTAGAGCCAGAATTGCTTCAAAACAGTTTCTTGAGATACAAAAAACCTCCGCTGTTCACATGTGCTGCAGGGCAGTTTGTGATGACAGAACAGCGGGGAGAGCAGTTTAAAAGTGTTAAACAGCAGAGTTGTGTGTGTTAAGCAAATACATGATTACTGCAGTGATATAAACATATACATTTGTACAACACTGCAGGTGTTCTGCTTTACACTTTATCCAGAAAGTGTGACTAAAAGCTCACCCTGACACAGACATTAGAGAACCCATCGACTGTAAAAACATGCATGTCTTTCTACAACGCAAGGATATTACTGGGAAAGGGGTGTGTTTTTTCTTTTTGAGGTGCCTCACCACTGAGATCTGCTAGGCCCAGAGAATGGGTACAATCTGATGAGCCTCAGCACATACTGAAGAGAAAGCAGTTGATGGGCCATTAGTATATGGAAGTTTGTGCTCTCCCCTGTACCCTGCCAATACATAACTAGATGACCCCAGCAAGGCACTTGCCTTTCTGTGACTCAGCTGATGTTTTGGTTAAGTGAGGAAAACAACGGCTACAGCTTGGTAAGGCTATTCCACAAACCAGGGGACAGAACAGCATAAAAGAGCTGCTCTGCACTTGGAACACTCTCATTGCAGGGAGTGCTCTACTGTGAAATAAGACATTCATGCCTTTTCTCTGCCATGTCAGAACAAGGCAGAAGACTATGGAATAATTGTTGATCATCATCTGACTACTAATGAAATGAAAATATTTCAGCCAATTTACCTGTAACCAGAATC